GGGGCGGTTTTTTTTTTTGGGCCTGGGGCTTTCTTTTTTTAGCCCCCCCCCCCCCCCCCCCCCCGCCTTGAGCTCGCCCTGCACTCAGCAAAGCTTACTAGTATTTGCTCATTAACCTCAGTATCTGACTCAGTTTTGCCCTTGGCCTTTGCAAAGTGAATGCAATGGGCCCGGGCCTCTCTCCATCTTTTAGAATCGTGGTTGAGCCTCCACGTGCCCGTCAGCCTCTGCACATGCGAGCCTTCTTTCTCCAGGCGGCTGCGTCTGCAGGGCCTCGGAGCCCAGCCGGGGCCCAGGCCGCGGCCCGCCTCAGGGCTGCCCGTCTGTGCTGAGCACAGGAGTTGCAGGCGAGGTGGAGAGAAGGCCCGTCCGACAGGAGGCAGCGGGGAGGGTCCTCTGTCAGGGCAGTGGAGGACGGAGGTGTTCTTCAGAGGAGAGGATCTGGGCTGGGCACCAACACTGCAAGGAGAAAAGAACTGGATTTTTTCCTGGGTTTTGTGAATTCTAGAGAATGGTTTCTTCAGCGTGACTTCTTGCATCCTTATCTGAGGCTCTCAAACACCTGCCCAGGAGGGCCTCCCTGCCTCCCTCTGCTCCTAGTCCCCTTCTCCTCTAGCCTCTGGCTCAACTTTTATATTATTTTATTTTTAAATATATTTTTATTGATTTCAGAGAGGAAGGGAGAGGGAGAGATAGAAACATCAATGATGAGAGAGAACCATTGATCGGCTGCCTCCTGCACACCCTACACTGGGGATCGAGCCCACAACCCGGGCATGTGCCCTTGACGGGAATCAAACCCGGGACCCTTTGAAGCATAGTGGTCCCTCCTTTGGAAAAACTGCTGTTTGAATGCCTCTGTTATTCTTAGTCTCTTATTCTGTAGGTCAACTCTGTTGTTTTTAGACTGTAAATAACTTTGTTTTTTGCTTGAATAGAAAAGATAAACTTAACTGTCTGACCTTGCAGGCTAGCCATCCAGCTGACACGCTGATATTGACGCCAGGTGCCTGTACAGATATATACTCAAGGTTACACGCTGTCTACAAAAATAACTTACACAAAGAACTAGAAGGATATAAAAAGGAAATACTCCCTCCTGTGTTTGTTCAGAATTGGACAGAGATAATCTGCTCTGAACCTGTGGCAATAAAGATGACTCCTAACTAATTGGCTCATTGGGCGTCTTGTCCAGATCGCTGATTTGCGATACAACACCTCAGTCCACAGGCCAACTCTCTATCCACTGAGCCACACCAGCTAGGGCTCAACTTCTTTTTTGAATCCTCACGCAAGGAGAGAGAGAGAGAGAGAGAGAGAGAGAGAGAGAGAGAGAGAGAGACATTGATGTGAGAGAGAAACATTGATTGGCTGCCTTCTGAACGTGCCCGAACTCGGGGCTGAGCCTGCACCCGGGCATGTGCCCCGACCCAGAGGGGGTCCAACCAGCAACTGTGGGCGCACAGATGACACGCAGACCACCGAGCCACTCTGGCCGTGCTCATCTTTGTTTTTTGCTTTTTTAGCTTCAGGCAGTCTTTGGATGGTAATAATCCCCACATTTTGCTGATGAAAAAATAAAGACTTAGAAAAATCTGGTGATTTACCTACAGATTCATGCAAGCAAGGTCGGAGCTGGGAAACTGACCGGGCCAGTCCCCTGCCCTCACACAGATGTGCTGTGTGGGTGTCTGCCTGCAGCTCAGGGCTCTCAGCACTGCCTTGTCTCAGGAGGAGGCAGTGCCTGTCACCCTTCTGGGGGGAGCAGCCATCTTGGCACCGATGGTGGCTCCTAGGGGGAAAGATAAAGTTTTAAAAAGGTGAGGTAGAGAAAGCAGAGGGTCAGGGGCCTGTGTTCTAGGCTTGACTCAGCCTTTTACCAGTTATGTCTGGGGAGAATAGCACCATCAACCTCCCCCGAGTGAGCCTAGAAGACATGCTGGGTATTGGCATGAGTGGTAAGCTGTGAAGGGCCACATCACTCCTATACCAACCCGGGAGTCAGGAATGCTCAGACGCATCCCTGCCATCAGCAATGTGTTTACAAGGGGAGGGTCGAGGGCCAGCTATGAGGAGAAGGGGACCTCCTCCCATGAGAGCAGGCTGTGTGGGCTCTGGGAAAATAAGACAAAAAACACTGGCGCTCACCATGAGGGGAGATGTGCTTGTTTCTCGGGGAATGAGGCCTCAGCCTCGCTGTCCGTGAGAGACGGAGGGGACCAGGGGGCCCACTGCTGCTCTCCCGAGCCAGCACCTGCACCCAGAGGGAGTCCCCGCGAGCGTCTGGTCAAGTCCAGGGCCATAGATGGGAGGGCTTTCTGTGGGAAGGGAAGGAATAGGGACACTGGTCCAGGGAACCTGAAAGAGGGACTTCAGCCCTGGCCAGTTTAGCTCAGTGGATAGGCAGGGGTCCTCAAACTACAGCCCGCGGGCCACATGCAAATACAAATATTGTATTTGTTCCCGTTTTGTTTTTTTACTTCAAAATAAGATATGTGCAGTGTGCATAGGAATTTGTTCATAGTTTTTTTAAAAACTATAGTCCAGCCCTCCAACGGTCTGAGGGACAGTGAACTGGCCCCGTTTAAAAAGTTTGAGGACCCCTGGGATAGAGTGTCGGTCTGCGGACTGATGGGTCCCAGGTTCGATCCAGTCAAGGGCACATACCTTGGTTGCGGGCTGGATCCCCCTCCCTGGTTGGGGATGTGTGGGAGGCAACCAATCGATGTGTCTCTCTCAAATCGATGTTCCTCCTGTCTCTCCTCTTCCCTTCCTCTCTCTCTAAAAATCAATGGAAAAATATCCTCGGGTGAGGATTCACAACATACGAAAACCAACCAACAAACAAAAAGGACTTTAGGGAAAGGATAGGAGATTGAAAAGAGAGGCAGGAGGGAGGACACAGAGCTTGGCCTCGGCAGCACCCATGGGCCTCCTTTCTCTGCTGGCACTTGGAGGTGAACAAGTTCACTTCCTCCAACCTTCTATGGCTGCCAAGACCTACCTGACCCTTGAGTGAGATGAAAAGACACGCGTGGCACCGCCCCAACTCAGTCTCCGTGTGACTGGGACACACTCCCCGGGATTCAGAAAAGGACAGAACTCGCCCACCCCTCCCTCCAGGGACCTCACTGAGGTGGACGGAGGAGGGTGGGCCCTCGGTGGCTCCCCAGGGACTCGGGCCAGCAGTGTGACCACCGTCCCACCTTCCCGATCTGTGGACAGACTGTCTCCGTGATGGCCATTCACAGGTCAGCAAGGAATAACTTTTGAGAAACCTTAGTAACAGCCTGTTCTCAGGGTCTAGATACAAATACTCCTGAACGCTCACGCTAACTGCAGGTTCTTGGGTGGGAAACAAACCCAGCCGGTCATGTGTCCCTCCTCCTGCCGCAGGTTGTTCACTGTTCTCCTGTCTGCCGCATACTCCTCCGCGCACTTACTCATCTCCCTCCACCCGCCCACCCGACCCTCCATCCTTCAAGGAAAAAAAAAGAGTAATATAGGGAGTCTTTCCTTTAAGAACTCATGGCATAGTCCTTTTGAAAATTATATATTTTTTCTTTTCTTTTTATTTTTTTATTTTTTTTATTTATTTATTTTTTGCTATAAGTATTACAAAGGGTATTACATAAGTGTCCTTTCCCCCCCCCACCCTTGACAAGCCCCTGCCCTCCCTTACCCCCCAGTGTCTTATGTCCATTAGTTATGGTTATATGGATGCATACAAGTCCTTCGGTTGATCTCTTACTCCCCTCCCTCCTGTCCCCCAACCCTCCCTGGCCTTCCCACTGCAGTTCGACAATCAGTTTGAGGCAGCTCTGCCACTGTATTTATTATTGTTCGAAAGTTTGTAATGGTCTTTATTATCCATGAATGAGTGAGATCATGTGGTGTTTTTCCTTCATTGACTGGCTTATTTCACTTAGCATAATGCTCTCCAGTTCCATCCATGCTGTTGCAAATGGTAAGAGTTCCTTCTTTTTAACAGCAGCATAGTATTCCATCGTGTAGATGTACCACAGTTTTCTAATCCATTCATCTACTGATGGGCACTTAGGCTGTTTCCAGATCTTAGCTATGGTGAATTGTGCTGCTATGAACATCTGGGT